TTTCTTAATTCATGATGCATGGAGGATTATCTAAAACATGAAATTAAAGTCATAAAACTCTTAGAAAAATATTTGCATGTGCGAAATTAGGGTCAAAATTCAAACCAATTACATCCAAAATTCCTTTAATTCAATATTAAGTTCAAAATGTTCATGAATTCATAATTTCCCAAAACTTGCTCTCCTTGTACCCAAGCATGAAATTAATTCCCCAACTTTCTCAAAGATTCATTGATGCATGTAAAGATGAAGCCCAAATTCATGAGGAATAACACAAATTAAACTTACTTGATAAATTTTCCCAAACTCATTTCCTTAATCTCAAGCTTAGCTCAATTTATTTTAACCTCAATTTAATTCATAATCATAGATATTTCAAAATATGTTTAATTTAAGTCAAACTCTTCTATTACATTACATGCATGGGTGTTGGCTACACATTTTGTGTTAGCCAGTGACAATTCGACGCGTGGCAAAGTGAGGGTAATATGGGGAGACCAGGTAGGTCTTCGATCCTGATCGTACACGTGGCAATTAATATTGGTTGTTATAGGATCTGAGTAGTAGCAGATCAACAAAGAGACGTACAGTGACGTGGCTTCAACGGTTGCTCACATTCAAATTCGAATATAAGGGGGAAGCCTAACTGCAAGTGAAGGCGTAGTGGGACTACTTATAAGGTAGCATGATCAGCGACTACGGAGGAGCAGTTCGACGGTTTGAAGTACAATTCGATGGTTATTTTCGAAGAGTATAAATAGCAAGAAGGACTTCAGAGAAGGGACGAAGAAAGATCTAAAGAATTACTTTACATATTCCAGTATTATTTCCTGTCCTTTATATTTCTGTACTTTAAGTTCCTGCGCTGCACTTCATTTGTAGGAGTAGTTTTCGAGTATATTACCGCTGTAATTCTCTACGGAACTAAGATCATTGTAAGTTTTTCATACTAATAAAATGCTTCAGTTTATTTAACTGTTCTTATGCTCAAGTTCTCTGAAGTCAAATTACTAGTAAGCCACCAGTAAAAGTCCTCTTTATTGAGGCCGAAAGAACCATAACATAATCGTCTGAATAATTGTTTGGCAATTACAATTCTGTAAGGACTGATTGATCCTTACTGGCACGCTCATAATTACAAAAGTAACCTTCGAAAGCCAAAAAGCCAACAAAAGTGTAATTTTTCATGAATTCTTCATCTGTGACAGAGACAGAGATGTTTGCTTAAGCAAAACTGAAACAACAACGAACTTGAGAGCAAAAGTGATTCTCCAAACCTATAACCAGGCATGTTCTTTGTGCTTGTATAAGTCACTTGTTCAATACAACAACAACCCAGAGTCTTAATTATCAATAAAATCAAAATAACTAAAAAGAAACACAAAGTAACAAACTATGCCTTTACAAGAGCATCATCAATTCGAAGGATAAACTCAGTTGGGTTTTTTATTTGTTGAAGAAGGTTCTCTCTCAATCTTTCTGCGGGCTTAAATATTTCAACTTCATGCAGAGTGGCCATGCTCGAATGGAACTGTGGCACCGTCACCAATTTTGCACAATCTCTAATGACCAAACGCCGAATGCTTCGCATCGCTCCTGTCCTCACATTCCAAGCTTCTGTCTCTACCCCCACCAAGCACAGAACTTGTAGCTGAAGAAAACAACCGACATTGCAATTGATCTCCGGCCCTAAAACAGAACAATTTAACAGTTTCAGAATCCTAAGGTTCGGAAGCTTCTCCAGCGTTTGGATACAGTCAGGGGCCGAGAGATACGTCTCTTTCAAGGTTATCTTGGAGAGGGTCAGTGGGAATGCATTCGAGTCTGGAAATTCACAAGGGTTCACAATCTTGAGCGACTGAAGATGATATAAATGGTCTAGACTTTCTAGAAAATTCGATGTAGCATTCTTGTTAAAGCTGCATATACTTAGTTTTGTGACATTTGGGAACTTGGCCTTCACCATTAGACGCTTCAAGACTGCATCAGGGCGGACACCAGAGAGAGTTTGGAGGTTCCAAAGGGCTTTGTCATTATCCGGGTCAGGTAAACTAGCGGAGGACCCGAAATACACGTGCCTCAAGTCTTTCATCTTCCAAATTTCATTGGGAACGATATGAGGCAAAGAAGAGTCTCTCAAATCAAGGGTTTGTAGTTTGAAGAGGTTGCATATGGAGCTCGGAATTTGCGTTAGGTTCGGAGCGTTAACTCTCAAGTATTGCAGGTAAAGTAGCTTCTTCACACCCCTGGGAATCCTGTCCACTTTAATGGATCCCAAGTTCAACACCCTTAGCAAGGCCAAACTGTTGTAAAGTAATCTCCAGAGTCTGATAGAGTTAATGTGACCGAGGGAGCCTGGTGCGTAGCACTGCAGAGAGCACAGTTGCTGATAATTGTTGCCGCTTTCTGACAATGCTTCCATTAGGGAGAAACCGTTGTGGTCGTTGTGGACGGCAAGCCTTAGTGGTTCCGACCCTGCACGGTTACTGTGGTCTGCATTCACATTTACAAGGAAAAGCTTCTGATCCTCGGCAACTGATATGCAGAGCTCGCGCAAAAGTTTGAGGATACGACAAGTTTTAACTCCACCATCGGTCCTCCTAGCAACCACTTGAATCAAACTTTGGCCGATGAGCTCGTTTAAGTATTCCTCTCCCGCATCCTCCATCCTCTGGGTTCCCTTCACTACTTGCACAAACCCTTCTGCGATCCACAACTGAATCAATTGCCTTACTGGAATCTCGTAATCTTCGGGGAACATGCCGAAATAGAGAAGACATGTTTTGAGGTGCTGTGGTAAATTGTGGTAACTGAGAGCAATGCCCCTGCCTCTCTTACCCTGAATCAACAGATGTTTACTGGTGTTATCGGCCAACGTTGACCACGTCTCGACCGTCTCCTCCTGCCTCGCCAAGATTCCCCCCAACAGGACAATTGCAAGAGGTAATCCATCGCATTTCTTGGCCATTTGTTTTCCAATCTCCACTAAATCTTGACGGCAGAAATTTCCTTTGAGCGCCTTCCTGCGTAAGAGCTCCCAGCTATCTTCACTGTCGAGTAAACCCAGTCTGTGGGGTGGCCTCGGGCTGGCGTGCGACGCGACCTCTTCCAACCGACTAGTGAGTAATATTCTGCTTCCATTCAAGTCATCTGGGAAGGCCGGTTTCACCTCGTCCCATACTTGTTTATGCCACACGTTATCCATGATTATCAGATATCTCCTTCCCCTCAGGCGCCCAGAAACCACCTCCTTCAATTCTTCTTCGCTTGCATCCTCTTCGTACGCTTCTTGATCGTGGTTGAAACTAGTACCAATAGCAATATACTTCAAAATACATCGCAACAAGTCGGCGGTTTTGTATTCTTGAGGCACAGGAACCCACGCCCGATAAGCAAAATGAGCTCTAATCAATCCATGGTTGTAAATCTTCTTGGCCAGAGTAGTTTTTCCCAGACCTTCCATCCCTACAATTGAAACAACATTCTGTTGTAAATCCCCATCTTTCATCAACCGATTCACCAATGCCTCTGCCTCACCGTCAAAGCCGACAACATGATCAGGTTCCTCGACGGTCATACCAAAGCCCCCACTGTGTGAGCTGCCTGATCCTCCACCATCTCTTTCTTTGCCTTTGGCATCACGAATTTTTTTGAGTCTTTCGTTCATGCTGACCATCCTTGCCGTGGCATCACAAAGCTTACGTTTGTCGCCGAAACAGTGGAAAAGTTTTCCCACTTTCCTCCATCTCCTCCTTGGCCGAACGCTGTTAAAGATAAGTTCATTGATTAATTTGATTGTGTCCTCTGCAGCATAAGTTACGTCCCTGATTTGATTCTCTAACACCGCAACTTCCTGCTGGTTCAGATGAACTTCAGAGTAATTGAGGAAACTACTCACTTTCTTGAGCTCAGCCTGAAAGGACCTTACTTGGTCCTTCACTTCAAGTGGCAAATCTGCTTCTTTTTCTAGTTGCCGGACCAATTTCTCTATGGCTGAAGAAGTAACCCTCTCAGCCATTTCTTCTCTTTTGCAGCAAACTCTTTTAATTTCAAGAGAGACTTCTCAACACTGGTTTTTAAAGAGAGACTTCGTTGTCTTGGCTGGAAGAAAAAGGCAAATAGAAACAGTCAAGAAGTGGGGGAGGTAAAAATGAGACTTTTAATGGTAATGAATACTTCCTAGAAACTACTGGTTGTGCAATTGTCATACAAGTTCATCAGTTTGCTACAAAGACTTTTATCATAAAATGCTTTTGTCAGTAGTAGAAGACAACTCTTCCTAATTATTGCTGCAAAAGATCACTGTCTCCCACCCAGTACAGCCAACCAATAGACAAAATAGACCCGGTCCCATATCACGAGTCGCGATGATCAAAGTTGAACGAAGTGGCTTTTTCTTTTAACAAAGAGTAATGATTCATCCCCTTTTTTCTCCACCCCTTTGACCCCTCTCTCTCTTATTGGTCACTTTTTCTTTTTTTTCCTGCTCCACCAATCACTCATGCCACGTGGCAAAGGGGGGTGAGGGGGTGACCCCAAAAGGGGTCCTAAGCATTATTCATAGTATTAAAGACAGTTTGGGAATCTCTAGTATGTGTTTATGGTAAGTGGACCACTTCAAACCAGGGTCTGACTACTGTACATGAAAATGGTTTCTGTGTACCATACTTTAAAGAGTGATGGTCTAATCCAACATGTATGGGTCACCGGGAGTCACCGGTAAAACCGGTGATGTGATGTGACTTTTTTTTTTGTTTTTTTTACTAACAGAGTGGATACAATGTTTCATAGTAAATTACACAAATAAATAAAAAAAAAGACTAATCTTTTTTAAATTTTAAAAATTTTATTAAATTTGACATAATTATATTAAAGTTTAATTTAAATGAAAGTTAGTTAATTTTTTAATAATAATTTATTAATTGTATGAATAAAAAATTAATGTTAATTATTTAATATTGAAATATAGACAATATATTCGTATTTATTCTTGTATTTACACGAAAATTATATAATATACATTTTATTTTTGAATGTATATCATATGTCTAGTTATAACCTTTGTGGTCTTTGATTATAATTTATTGTGTTAATTATGCCTTAATTATAACCTCTTGTAATTTTAATTTTGATTATGATTGAAGAGCTTTTTAGTTATATGACTTAAATGATATTTGGTTATTATGATTCATTATGATATTGATTATGATTTATTATGATTATTATTTTAATTATGATCGAAAAAGTCTTTGATTATATCTGAAGTGATATTTGGTTATGACCCATTACATTTTATTTTAATTATAATTTAAAGTAGTTTAATTATGACATTTGTGTCATCACTTGAATATGGTACATGCTCCAAAAAAGACATGTATTGTAAAATGACCTTGTATTTACATATTATTTGCATTAATTATGATTTTTTAAATTTTATTAAACGAGAAATCAGTGTTATTATATCAAACTTATGAGATTAATTGTATTTAATAGTAAATTCACTTGCAACAAATGGTAAGCATAGTCATGTTAAGTAATAAACTTCTTTATTAAGGGTGAGCATGATTCAATTTAGTTTGTTTAATAAATCAATGACCAAAAGTTTACCTATAGATTTAGGAAATTTAGAATCAAACTATAAAAATATTTGTTAAAAAAAATTATAAAAATCTTAAAACCAAATCAAACTAAATGAGTAATTTTACAATATAATCGCAAAATATTACTTATAAAGTTACTCAAACATTAAGTAATGTGCTATCATTTTTATTTTTTTTTAATATCCGAATGTTCGGGCCAACTTACATGTACATCTACTAATCTTAAGGCTCTAAAGTTAACAGTTGGGCAAACCTTTAGTGGTTCCAAAGTTAGGAATGGCCTTCGTGGAGTTCGAACTTACGGCCTCTTTGGTGGTAAGTTTTTTGATTGTCTTCTCCACCCACTAAACCAAACCCCTTGGGGTTGTAATATGCTATCATTTTATAAATAAAAGTACTTTACATGATTGTTTAAACATAGTTCTACTATTATTCAATTAAACATAGCTTACTACTTAATAAGAGTCCACTTACTACTCCATCAAATTATTAAATAAAATTTTTGGATATGTTAGGCATTTTTAAAATATCTGAATTTATAAAAATTACTAAACAGTTTTCATGTATCCTATTCAATGGGACTTCACTTACTACTTAATCAGATTTGACTTACTATTCAATTAAATCCTAATTACTAATCAACGAGACTCCACAAACTACTCAATTAAACTTGACTTACTACTTAATGAGACTCCACTTACTGTTCAATTAGACTTGACTTATTACTCAATTAAGCTCCACTTACCACTCAATGAGCTTCTACTCACTAATTCACTAGACTTCACTTTCTACTCAATGAATTTCTACTTATTACTTCATTAGACATCATTTACTATTCAATTAAACCGTACTTACTATTAATGTGCTTTTGCTTGTTATTTCATTAGACTTTACTTATTACTTAATTAAATTTCACTTACTACTCAATAATCTTCCACTTATTACTTCACTACACTTCACTTACTACTTAATGAGTTTTCACTTACTACTTTATTAGACTTTACTTACTACTCAATTAAATTTTATTTTTTGGCTACTCCATAAAATTTGATTTATTATTCAATTAAATTCCACTTACTATTCCATCAAATTTTACTTATTATTCAATCAAACACCAATTGATATTTAATGAGATTTCATTTACTACTCAATGACACTCTAGTTATTACTCTATCAAACTTGACTTACTATTCAATCAAACACCTCTTACTACTCAACGAGACTTAACTTACTACTCAATCAAACACTGCCTACTATCCTATGAGACTCTACTTACTACTAATTTAAATCACACATACTATCTAATGAGATTCTACTTACTATTTTATTAGACTTTACTTACTATTCAATTAAACATTACTTACTAGTCAATGAGACTTAGCTTAATATTCGTTGATAATCCATTTACTATTCCATCAGACGTGATTTACAACTCAATCAAACAAAACTACCACTCAATAAGATTTCATTACTATTGAGTGGTAAATAGAATTAAAACAAATTGTAAGTAAAGTCACAATGAATGGTCAGTAATAAATACAAATTTGAGTTTTAAAATAGTAAACAAAATATATAAGTTTATTAGACTGGACTTAGTACTCAATAAGACATCACTTCATTTGACTTCATTTTCTACTTAATTAAATCTTACTTGTTACTTAATGACTCGACTTGACTTACTACTACATTATACATCACTTACTATTTAATGAAACTCTATTTACTACTTCATTAAACTTTACTTTACTACTAAATTAAACTCTACTTACTAGTTAACGAGACTCTACTTACTACTCCATCAAACTTACTTACAACTCAGTAGGGATGGCAATCCCCAACCCCGATTATAATGGGTTTTCCCAAAAAATTATCCACTATAGGCCCGAGGATGGTATTGAAAATTGAATCCCCGATGATTTTCAGGCCGGGAACGGGGATAGGTTCCCTCAGCTCTGGCTCCAGGCCCGTCCCGAATAAACCCCGAACATCCCCATATATGTAATATATTTCTAAATCATAGATGTCTTGGTCATCATGTTCAGTGCCTCTATCTTCATCTTCAGCTTCATCAGTCTTCCATTAAAGTGCACACCTTCAACTCTTGGCTTCTTATCATTAATCTCATCTCTTCCATAAATGGGAGCATATCTAATTGGGTTGTGCCAAGCCCAGAAATCACAACCCCCCAAACCCGCCTTTTCGCAAACATAATATAACCTACCTTTTGAAGGCTTCTCTGACTCCACGATTCTAATGGTTGCTTTTTTCCCACAACGACATTTCTTGCTCAAGAGCCTCATCATTTGTCCTTCACCATCGCCAATGCTTGAAGATGACATTTTTGCTGGGTAGACTGACCTGCAACTCAACATACAAAGCAAGGAGGCAGTATAAAAACAATCTTCTTGGGCAAGTTTTTATTTGTAACCCTAGGGGCATTTTGGTCTTTTAATTGTGAGGGAACATCTTCACTTCATGCCCAACTGCACCACACTCGCGTGTACTGTACAGCCTGTTACAATAGATGGAAAGCCTAACTGTGCACATTACTTCATCAACCATAGGGGGGTTATGTGGTGATATTTGAATGTCAAAGCGGTAATCCGCACATGGCCAAAACCATAGGGGGTAAAGTGAAGTTTTCCCTTTGATTTAAAAGTTTAGGATTTTGAATGATTTGTTTGTGTTAGGAATTGATTTTGTTGTGTTTTTAATTTTATAAGTTTTAATTCATTAATTATTAATGTTTGAGCATTTTAGAAATGGGGAGGAAAAAATAAATATTTACAAAATGGGAAGGAAAAAAAAAAAAAAAAAAAGCTCTAAAATAAACTTTTAAAGAAAAAAGTCCAATTCGCAAACCGCCCGCAACTACCCGCACATCCGTGAACTCTATGTGCACAAACCGCAACCCCCACTGCGAGTGGTTGCGGGTTGTATTTTTTCCAATCCGCATACATACGGACGGGTCCAAACCAATTCGTAAACCGCTCAAAACCGAACTGCGACCACCCCTATTATATAGGCTAACTTGCCACTCATTACATGATTATCATCAAAACACATAATAAAAAGGGAAATGTCATCCTGCACTAACTTAGCCTGTGTTGTTTGATAAAGTGAGTAAGTTGGGTTGGACTGGTTTGGTGATAAAATTGACTAACCAGTTAGGTTGTGTAGAGGTGTGCCAAAAAACTAGGCATCCCGCACTAACTCAGCCTGTGTGGTTTGATAAGGTGAGTGAGTTGGGTTGGACTGGTTGGATGATAAAATTGACTAATCAGTTAGGCTGCTAGTTAAAATTTGTTAATTCCATATAATTTTGTACGAGTCCCTCCTATATTTTTATTTCAATTAGCAGGAACTCGTACAAAATTATATGAAATTAACAAATTTTAACCAATAGCCTAACTGATCA